GAGAGAGAGAGAGAGAGAGAGAGAGAGAGAGAGAGAGAGAGAGAGACGGCCTTGCTATGTAGCCCAGACTGGCCTTGAACTCATTTTGTAGTTGACTGGACTCACTATCTTCCTGCCTCAGCCTCCTGAGTGCTGGGATTATGGGCCTGCACCACCACACCCGTGAGAATTTCTGTACATTGGATGTCTTCATGCTGAACTGTAGCTAGGATTAGAGAGGCTTTGAGAACCTCTTATTCTGAAATATAAGAACTACAAAAATAGTGTGACATATTCTCCTTTGTACCACACCAAATGTTTTGTTTGGTTTTGTTTTCTGAGAGGGAGTCTCACTATGTAGCCCAGGCTGGCCTTGAACTCACAATATTCCTGCCCATCACTGCCCAAGAGTCTTAACATTTTGCCACCTCTTCTTTTATTAACTTCCCCCGTCACCTCCTCAGTTGACATTAAGTTGTGGACCCCTTGCCTGTATTTCACAATGACGGATTTCAGGAAATTTCATATTGAGATGGTTATACAGGTAATATTCAGTTTTCCCAATTCCCCAGTAATGTCCCTTATGGCACCTCCTCTCCCAACTGAAATCACCCATTGCGTGTAACTGCCCTATCACTAGTCCCTTCTCATCAGGAGCCGAGACAGGATTTTGATGCGAGTTTTGTAGCTTCATGTATCAGTTTATTCATCGCTCCTAACTTTGTCCCTGTACTTTTGAGTCGTCTGCCTCAGGCACATGATCCAGACTGGGTGTCTTGCCTAAGGCCAAGTAAGCTTTTTGTTTAGTGATTGTGAACTTCTGTTCTTTATTTCTGCTTTTCAAAAGTATTTTTCTTTTTATGTAACTTAGTTTAATTGCAAATGTAGTATGTATTTGTTATGGAAAATTGAGTTACCTGTTTGTATTTTGGGTGCTGGGACCTCTCACATGCTAAGTGTGTGACTGTTACGGAAAATGTAGATAAACATTAAAAGAATAAAACTTTCTTTTTCAGGGCCAGGAGATTTAGCTCAGTGGTTTTGCTGCCTGCTGCGCAAGTGCAAGGACCCGAGTTCGATCTCCAGTACCAAAAAAACCACTTTTTTTTTGCAGCCCAGGCCGGCCTCAAACTTGCAGCGATACTCCTGCCACAGCCTCCCAAGTGCTGAGATTACAGGCATGGCCCACCACACCCGGCCTAAAAGAATAAACCTTCTGAGCCAGGCATGGTGGTGCTTGCCTGTAATCCCACACTCTTGAGAGGCTGAGGCAGGAGACTCACAAGTTCGAGCTCAGCCTGGACAACCTAGCTACTTAGCGACACCCTGTCTCAAAATATAAAAAAATTTAAAAAGAGCTGGAGATGTAACTCAGTGCAAAGACCAGTTCAATCTCCAGGACCACTAAAACAAAACAAAACAAAACAAAACACTAGAAAAAAAAAACTTCCTGAGCTAGGCATGATGGCAAACACCTGTAATCCCAGATACTCTGAGGGTAAGGCAGGAGGATTGCAAGTTCGAGACCACCTAGAACAGGTTAGCAAAACCATGTGCCGAAATAAAAAGGGCTGGGGATGCATCTCAGTGGTGCAGTGCTTGCCTAGCATGTACAGCGCCCTCGGTTCAATCCCCAACATGGCAAAGAAAAACAAAAAGGAGAAGGAGGGATAATCTGCTAACATTGGATATGAACTTTCCTTCATTTTCTATGCATATACATATTTTTCTCTTTTTTCTAAAAATAAGATGGTTTGTATATGCTGAAAAGCTATTCACTGATTTTAAAAATAAAATTAAAATAGTTATCTTAAACTAGCACACTTTATAATTTTTAGAGTAAATATCAATAATAACTTTTATGGGGTTTTGGGGGTGTTTTTGTTTTTGTTTTTTGTTTTGCTTTGTTTTTTGAGACAGGGTCTCTCTATGTAGTCCAGGCTGACCTAAAACTCACTACGTAGCCCAGGCTGGCCTCAAGCTCACAGCGATCCTCCTACCTCAGCCTCCCAAGTGCTGGGATTACAGGCGTGTGCCACCACACCCGGCTCAATACCAGTAATAACTTTTTTTTTGATACCAGGGATCAAACTCAGGACCTTGCGCTTGCGAGGCAGGTGGCAGAACCACTGAGCTAAATCTCCTGCTCAGTAATAACTTTTGAAGAAAGAAGTCCACTAAAATATAGATCTTTCTTTACTGTCTAGCTGTTGCCCTTTTTATCCCCATCTTCTGTTTTAAGGCAACCTAGTGCTTTTCTAGGCTCCTGGGGCACCTCCTGAACCCCTCAGGCCCCAGAGCTGCTGCTGAAGGTACAGTGGAGCTGAAATCTGCAATGTTCTTTCCCTACCCTTCCTCTTTCCTCCACTTCCTCCCGTCTTTGTTTTGTTTTGTTTTGAGACAAGGTCTTACTTTGTAGTTCAGGCTGACCCTGAACTCACTATGTAGCCCAGACTGGCCTGGAACTCATAGTGATCCTCCTGCCTCAGCCTCCCAAGTGCTGGGATTACAGGTGTGCATCACCATGCCTGGCTCCCATCATCTTTCTGGAGCAAGGCATTATTCAAAGAAAGAACAGAGTTTTCTTTGCTATTTGAAAACCTCAATCTGGCCATTCCTCAGAAGCTTCAAGCCTTAGTTTCCCTCTATGGTGTTTTCTTTTCCAGTAGTTTTTGGGAAGAGTCAGTCCCTGTACATGTTCTCCACGTAAATCTGCATCTAGTTCCCCCTACTGCATTTGCAGGTCTGTGCTGGCAGCTCTTCTAGATGAACACAGCTGAACTGCATTCCTTGAAAGTTTTATATAGCAATTTCAAAAAGACATAATAAATATATTTAGAAGATTTTTCAGAATATGGTTAAGTATATTCATAACATAACCATGCTGCTTTATATAGAATATATATGTACCTCCTTGGAATACAGAGTATATATTTTGAAATTTTTTTTTTTGGTACCAGGGATCGAACTTGGGACCTTGCACTTGTGAGGCAGGCAGCGGCACCACTGAGCTAAATCCATGGCCCCAGAGTATATATTTTGTATAGATGATATTAAGAATCTGAGTAAGGATAAAAGGGCAGTTTTGACACACTAATGTTCTCTATTGTATGCACATAACAAAATATAGGAATAGTTATTATAGATTGTTCTAAAAAAGAATTCCAAGAAATAATTTACTTCAAAAACAGTTGCCAAATACCAAGTAAGCTGGCCTGCAGTGGCGCACGTCTGTATTCTCAGTTCTGAGGGAGGCTGAGGCAGGAAGATCTCAAGTTCAAGCTATCTTGGGCAACTTATCAAGACCCTGTCTCAGAATAAAAAATAGGCTCGGGATGTAACTTAGAAATAGGGCGCGCGCGTGCACACACACACACTCACACACGCACACATCATGGGGTTTTTTTCTTCCTTTTTTAAGTCACTGTCTAGTTTGCTATGTCCGAGATTAGGGCTGCCCTCCTGTGGGGAGCCCCGGGTCGGGCTGAGATACAGCTTCCTTCCCTTCCCTCTAGCTGCCACCACTTGCAGCATAACCAAATTGGGGCTGAAAAACAAACAGAAGCTCTTTCAAGAGCATATTCACCTAATCAGGCATTGTTCCTTCCATGTGCTCAGTTCTCAGTTCCAGT